AAATGCTAAGTTAATAATTTTATACATATATGTATTATTAATTACTAATAACTTTGATGTCCAAGGTTATAATCCATACAATCTATGAATATGAATTTGAATGCTTATAATCAATTCTCAATTCAATTTTTCGTGGAAGATAATCTAAACTGACCTGTTATTTGCATTAAAACTTCAGTTTTTTGATATGAAAGAGGTAACTAGATTCGAATGTAGATTTCATTGTCAATTTTCAATTTTTCAAACAAACAACTAAATTTAAATGTGATTGAAAATGAAGGTCAAGGTGGCAGAAAAACAGCACAAAAAGATAGATAAGGGTGATTTATGCAATGGAAATACTGCGATCTCTATCTTCGTGCTCGAGGTCAAGTCATGTATCGAAAAAAGCCATTATATTGATTCCTCGCGGCAGTTTTTTTGGCTCTTACTTTTCTTGGTTCTTTTTTGGCTTTTTACCTCTGTATACAAATATTAAAATTATGAATTTATTCTTTTCATCCCATTGTGCTTATTTATATTGCTTGTAATGACCCATTTGAGAAAAGGCTGGAACTATAAGAAAGATGGCAATTAGCATATTCCATTTCAAAGCCAAAGTTTGGTTTCTTACCAATTAAAATAAGTGAAAATCTTTTATGAAATTGTGATCCGGCCGGGACTCATCTATACCTTTATTTTTGAAAGATCCTCTGGCAAAATCTCATAGAGGAAAAGTTCAACAAGCTAGTGGAATTAGCCAAATTAATCATACGGAAAAAGAAGAAGGATCGTTCATGAATAGTTAATCTTCTTTCCGAGCCATAAAGTTATTTTTTCAATTATCTCATAATCGGGCAAGAAAATTGGTCATTTAATGCCCAAAATTACGGACAAAAAATATTTTCAGCTATAGTTGTTCAGAGAATCAGTCATCCTAAAAATGAATTTTAAATTCATCATTACTTAAATCAGTAAAAGGCTCAATAGGAAGCCGAAAAATGATGAATCGACTAATCATAGCCGAAAATGAAAATTTTTCAATAATTTATTGGTATTGATGAGACTATTAAGGTTGCAAATTGATGGGAATCTATTGGCAGTTTTTGTTTTCAAATTTTTTGAAAGTCATTTGGAGATCTCGCTTTCTTAGTACTGACTATGCATTAGTTTTAGTCCTAGAATCTGCTCGTGTTCCTTACTTCAAATGTATTTCCTGGCAAAAATTCCTCATAATTTCTGATCCAAATCCAGTTGAAGCAAATCTAGCCAGAAACATGACCGCTAACCACAAAGATGTTAGGATATAAGGTGTAAGATTAGTTCTTAGCTCCAAACTATTAGAAAATAATGTCGTGAAAAGCAGTATCAAGTTTGAAATCTGATCGTATTTCGCCATCAGCGAATTCATAATTTTAGTAAGAGTTATTTAATATTTATCATAGAAAAACCATCGATATGAGTTAATGATTTAAACTCCTTATTGGAATAAAAAATATTTTTTATTCATTTGTTATTTATTACAAAACTTGTTGTTGCATTATCGTGAAATATAAGATGAAATGACAAATCTGGAGCATCCATCCATCATCCGAGGTGCTTTTCAGATCAAATCGTATACATTTTATAATGGATGAACTGAAAAAAACTATAAAAAAATTATAAAAATAATCAACAATTAATCGAACTATTAGATAAAATTCATTTTTGATATTGCATTATTATTCATTGGATTATTGGATTATTAAACAATAATATTATGTTATTATGGTATTTAATGAAAATGAGAAGAGAAAGGCACTGAGGAATACTGAGATAAGAAAGAGGAGAAGCATGAGCTCGAGATGAGATGAATGAGAAAGATAGGTTTCGAAATGAGGTGTTTGTCGAGAACAAACAGCTGATAGCTTCAATTTAATTCATCACCGTTTGGCTGAAGATGAATAGTAGATCGAGTGAAGCACGATAGTCGTCGTAGAAGCGCACTTTAAATCATTTTCGATTTCAGATCTACTTAAATATTATTTAGGTTTAGAATTATTTTTTAGCTGCGAACAGATCGAACTTCTTTTCTTTGATTTGAACTTTTTTTCACTTTTTTTGCTTTATTGGCTGATGTTTCTCTTTGGTTGTTGAAAAAAAAGCAGGTAATTGTTAGTTTTTTTGTTATTCTTATTTTTTAATAACCAATAGTCGATAATAAATCGTTTTTCAAGAATTCTCACCATTTTTGATTGCGCTCTTTCCGTCAGTTCCAGTGGACCGCCAGAAAAGGCAACCAATCATCTGGAGTATAGGTGAATCGTCAGCATTCCGATTTTTTAGGAAAATCTTGTCACACCTAAAAACCCAGCCTAGGTCTCATATTTTTAAATAGTATTTTCTTATTAAATGATACTTTTTATATGAAATGAAATGAAAGTAACAAGGCATTGAGCGCATTGAGTCAAAATAGGTAATTGCCTAAATATTTGGGAAAATTTTGCAAAAGTCTGCAAATACCATATAGAAAAATTATGAAAAAAAATTTTTATTATGCCGAAATTTTTTTCTTTGCAGTGATTAATGAGGAAAAACCAAAAAAAAGCAATTGGCAAGAAGAGATAATAGATCTTTATCAGTGATATTCATCTCTACATGTTCTTCTTTCCTATTGAATACTTTCACTGTATTTTTATTCTTAAATTTCTACTAAAAAATTTTCAACAAAAAATTTTGAAATTTATACGAATAATACGAATTTAAATACGAATTTTTAAAATATTTTAAAAATTTTCTGCTTAAATTGCTCAAAATACATTGTTTTTTAGAAAAATTTTGCCTCACCATTTTTTGGCTAAATTAATTTAATTGGCTAAATTTATTATTTAAAGTTTAAATGAAAAATAAAAAGTTACAAAATAAAATAGTAAATTTTATATAAACTTATCTAAGGCTATTTCGTGAAATATTTTAGTTTTATAAAAGCTTCGTTTCAATCGATGGATTTTTTCGGTTTAGTTACGTTTTTTAAGAAATTTCAAAGTTTTTGCGAGAAATACGAAGTTTTAATGATATAAGTTAGTCGCTTAATTGATAAGTGATCAATAAAGTTTAACCAATTGCTCTTATAAAAAATGGGTGTGAACATTGAACCACTGCATTCAATTTTTGTTGGCTCTTTCTTGCGAATCAGCAAAATACTTGTTTGTATCTCGTTGACAAATCTTATTTAAATATTTAATGTGAGGTATTGACTGGAAGATTATTGACATAAGTCATAAGGGTTAGCCTTGGTGGTGTGCTCCAAGTTTCATTGTTGCTGTCATTGCTGTCCCTGGAACTCACTCACTCCTTACACTCCTCAAATGATAAACTTGCTGCATTCTAATAGCCAACAAAGTAAGTTAAACCAGAAATAATGAAAGCCAAGCAGTTTGGAAATTTAACAATAAATAAGTAAAAAAATTGGCGAAAAGTAAATATTGTTAAATTTAAAGTAAATTTCAATATAAAAATGTTTTTGCTTGGTTTTTGCTTATATTTTTTTAAATATTAAAATATTATTGAATATTAAATATTATATTTTTAAATATTAAATATTATTGAATATAATCTATTAAATTATTATTTAACTATTTATTGTTAAATTTAAAATTGTTAAAATTATCAATTTATTTTTTTCAAAATTTTTTTTTCTCCTTCTAACGGAACATTTTAGAACGGAACTGATTATTAAGCAAAAATCCTTGAAATAGAGAATCATTTGAAGATTAAGGTAAAGATAAGTAAGTGGTTAGCACTCATCGTTTTAGACCAGCTAATTTCACTATATATAGCGACAAAATTTTGCTAGCGGAACAGATGGGGATAGAAATATGTGTGAATACCCATCTCCGCTTTTGAAATAAGATTTTTTTTCCTATCAAACGTATGGTCGAGCTCCAAAATTCATCAGCTCTGAATATTGAAGTATAGGAAGTTCCTCACCGTCTCGGATTTCATTTTTGTTGACTCTTGTCGGGGGAAAGAAGATAAAAACCGAATTTATATTGCTTGACTTCAGTTGAAGCACTCAACCATCACATCGTTTTCTATTTCAGACTTTATTTGATCAAAATGATTCAACAAATCACTAGTATCGTATTTTATTCTATTATACTATGATTTGCGCGTATAATAACCCCATTTACGGGCAGTCGAACGATGGAAATTAATTAGAAATGCTTAGCGCTAAGTGCCACATATTCAATCCATTATAGATTGATAATGATAAATTCTTCTTCTCGTATTATGTCATTTGATTAACTAAAATTCTTTTTTTCTAATGGTTATTTTTTTTAGAAGCGATAAACAAGAGTATAAGGCACGGTCCAAAAAAAATTATTTCCATAAAAATTTCCATGACCGAAACGATAAATATATTGACGTTCAAATACCGCGCGAACAAGGCGAATTGTTCATAAACTAATTGAATCAAGTGGAGAAATTATCAAAATACAAAATTGATATCGAGCGTATCCACTAACTCTGGAATCATATAAATCGCTGGAAGACGGCTTTGGTGGAGGAATAATTATACAAAATTTATTAGTACTTCTTATCAAGGCTATTTTATTAGACAAATTATTAGTCAGAAACAATTGATAATAGACAGATTTGCTTTTGGTGCGGGCCTCAAGGCCCGCCCAAGATTAACGGCGACAGCGAAACAAGCATTTGTGAAGCAACCAGGAAATCTGGCATTATTTTGGCTGGAAAACGTATTCTCCTGAAACATTCTACTAATTTCTTCATATTCATTCTTACAGTACTTATTTTTACTTTATTTTGATTATTTTTGCCATTCCTTTTCCACTGTCGCAACGGATTCAATTTTGCTAACATATTTCTTTTCTTTCCTTTATTTTCATATTTTAACCTACAAAATTGGTTCGTCAGCTATTATAAAGCGCCTAACTGAAGGCGGCTATAATAAGATTAGTGGTCCCAATTATTCGGGAGAACATATTTTGCCGGTACTTTACGGAAAATTTTCGCCGATGAGTGGGATTGCAACAATAGGTGGTAGTGCAGCTTCATTCCAACCATTCGCTGCACTTTCACTTAGTTTATTACCACCGCTCGATTATTCCACTTCAACTTTGCTAACGAATTGTGCGCGTCAAGCTCAACAGTTAAGACGTCATGACGAGTTTAGGTTTGACCAGAGGTAAAACTTTTTAATTTATCTCTTTTCAATTAAATAATTTAATAATAAATCTAAGTTTGCTTCGCTCTAAGGAAGAGCACTAGAGATGAGGTTCAAAAAATAAAAATTTATCAATTGAAATATCCAATATATTTTCAATAGAGATTAGCTCAACTGCGACTCAACTTCTGTCATAATTTTGAAGGTGCTACTCGTTGTCAGTGCCACCAAATCTTCAGTCAAGGCTGATCCAAACTATTTCTTATTGAACACCACTGTTTCAACCACATTAGAAGAAATTCACCAATTTTTTCGAGTCATCTTTCTTTAAACCAACAATAAAATATCGAAAAAACCTGAAAAGATTGCCTTCATTCATTGCCTTCAAATTTACAATAATCGTTAATAAAATTTTGTAGCTTGGCTGAATCATTTAAAAATCCGTATTTATTTCATTTTCAAATTTTTAGCTTGGCTTTGTTTTTTCTATTTTTTTAAAAATCGAACTCAATTAGTTGGTTCGCAAAAATTGGCAGTGGTTTATATAAATATATCACTGAAATTTTTCCATAAAATTTCTATGCATTTTGAATCCCAAGATGATTGCTTTCCGACGACGTCTAAAACTGCACAGAATCAATAGCTTTTCAAGAATGGAAAAATTTATTCCAGTTGCCGCTTTTGGGCAAAACGATAGGACATTATTTCTCTTTTTTTCCTCATTGAATCTCTCTTTTCGTTGAATCAATTTATCTTATTTTGTTCGACTTTCCTATCAAAAATTTTAAGTAATTTTGGAAAATTCACTTCTTTTTTTTAAAAACTTTTCATAGGAGAAGGAAATGACTTTGAAAATTTTTTCTAAAAAGGTTGAAGGAAATTTACTGTCAAATTAGAATTTTTTCTGAAGTTTCTACGATTTTTTCAGAAAATTTCATTAATTACAAAAAGGATATTTGCCGAAATTTTAGTAGAAATTTGACTGAAACATAGATTTCAATGTTTTGTTAAGTTTGCGTATGTTCGTTTTCATCAATTGAAAATTTAGAAAAGCAATTTCGCGCTGACTTTGTTTCTGTAGAAAAGCGCTTAAACGCTTTAACACTGTTGAATATCATATTTTTGACTGAAATGCACTTTGAAGCTGTTAACTACGATTTCAAGATTAGATCATCGCACTTTGGCATTCACTGAAAGCTGCAGAGGTCCTGAATCAAACATGAAAAGCAAATGAATTCGGCACCACTTGAAACCGATTTGCAACATAAAGATTCTCAGAGTGGATTTTGATCCACTCATAATCTCGAAGGCCATCAAAATGGCAGTGTTTAACATGGCATCGCCTAAAACAGTCCAGAGTGGCTTACTGCCTGGTAATTGGATTTGCAATCCTCCCATATCTCTCCTCCAATACTTCGGTCTTATTATATATGTTTTGAAATTGAATTTGGCATAGCTTGAAAATTATTACAAAATTTTCGATGCAATGCTATCCTTTTTCGACCGTCTAAGTCCATATATTGCTGGTCCGTTATAACTTCAAAATCATTTCTGGCCATATCAGTCAAGGTCTTAAAAAGGACAAAATGACTCAGTAGATTGTTGTTCAATTCGGAGCGCTAATGCTGAGGTTCGATTACTCTCAGGAATAAACCGAAAAGATCCGTACAAAAATCCGGGTGATGTTCTCAATTCACCTGTATTTCTATCGCTAAGAGAATCTCTTGCATATTTGTCCGATGCAACAAGCCAGCGGAGTGAGTTTAACTAATAATGGTGAAAATGTTTTAAAAAAAAGAGATAGGTGCAATTCAATGTGCCCATGAAAATTTATTATTATGTCACTATGCTATATTTATTTAATACTTTATATTCATCATTTTTTGTTTTTGAATTTATTTTTGAAATATTTAAAGAAAATGGCATTTTTGGCTTCAAGCTTTTGGCTTTTTGGTCCATTTTGTTATGCCTTTTCTTGAGTTTTCCCTTAAAAACTATCGTTTTGTCTATATTTAAGCGCAAAATGATTGTCGGGTATAACATAAAATTTAACTGACCCATCTGCTCATTTTTCTGAATTCTATTACGATATATTTTTTAATTCACTTTTCATTTGAGTAACCTGGAATAAACAGATAAAATTGAAGACCAGATAATGATGAAGTGTGCTCAGGACGATTGGTAAACCTTACAATAAGTATAATTTTTGCGGTGCTTTTGGAAAATTTAATAATTAAGTTTGTTGTAGATATGATGGTCCAAATCGTGAAGGTGCTTTATATTGTCGATCAGGAACATGGTTGCAGATTTTGGATAAACGAACTGCTGAACAAGAAGCTATTAGAGATGAAACGATTAAGCCTGAATACATTAAAGGAACTCGCAAAGAGAACAGTCGTTTTAGTAAGCATTTACCTGCTTTTTTTCGCTTCGAAATTAATATATTAGAATTTTGAATAAATTTTGAATTTTTAGAAATAGAATTTTTTCAGCTGAAAATTAAAATAAAATGAAATTCTTTCTAAGAGAAAACTCTTTTTTGATCACTTTGATTTTCTTCTAACAATGGGTACCATTTGTGATTTCGCACAATTCCACTGGCAACAAGGATAAACCTTTCGATATTCTTTTTGAATTAATTTTTGAAATTAATGAAATTTGCTCGACTCTAATTTGGAGATCTGCTCGAAGATGCACTTGATGCATGTTGTTTAGCAGTTTTTCAGATTTTCATGTTTCGTTAAATCGAACTGTTCACCTCCCAATAAAACAAATTTTACATAAATGTTTGCAAATTGAATTATTTTTTTCAAAAAAAAGAATTTTCAATCACTTTTTTTAAATCTGCGCCCCTTTGCTGATCATCGATCTTATAAGATTTTAGTTTTATTCTTCAAAAATCACTCTAAATTTCATTCGTATTTGATTAAATACTGAATAAGTACCATGAATATGAATGTGTATTCACAAAGATTTTGAGGTCGCAAGATTAATAAGGGCAATCTTTGTTACGCTTTGATTCCATATATTTCTTTTGTTAAACTCTCACGATTTCGATCGGTTCCACTGACCATAGAATTAAATATTTTCACCAGAATGTCATATGGGAATAGAAGTACAGGTAAGACTCCAACTTACCTTCGGATTCAACCTTCAACAGATTTATTCCTACCAATACGAAAAGCTGAATCTTGAAATCCAAGCTGATGTCTAAGCATGATATCACTCAACCATATTGCTGCCAATCGTACTTTTAAGCTTTTTAAGCAAAAAATTTCGTTTAATCGAGCAAACAAAAAATTGGCGGCGGCTTAAAAAACGGGAAACTAATTCAGTCAATGCAAAAAGTCTCAAGACATTTCTCAAGACATTAGAATCCTTCATCAGAGATTTTAGAAAAAAAATCTGCATTAACTTTCCCACTTGTCAATTCAGCATGAAAAAAAAAACTTTTAATGGTAGGAAGGATTAAAAATAAGAAAATTTGTTGGTTTGTTGCTAATCCAAATTCAAAAAAAGATTGCATATTTGACTTTTATGAAAAAATTTTTTGAATATTTTCGATATGAAAATAAATAATTTGAAATTTTTCCCATAAAACTGAGAAGAAAGAAGAAAAGATCTAATTTGCATATGTGCAAAATAATGCAGATAATATTCCGTATATTAATCTTTCAAGTTGATATCCGAAGAAAACTGGGGATAGCGAGGATTTATTATAGAAACAAAAATCGGTAAAAATCAGTTCGTCTAAGGAGAAGAATTATGGCTCCAGTCCCTTAATGGTGACGAACCTTCACCAAGTGAAATCAAGAAAGATGGTTGCGATTAACTTGTGGCTTCATTCCGTAGTAACTTACTTCCAATAGTTAAGCGACCAGCCAAATCAGAAATGCTTTTGCAAAAAGAAGATGAAAATTTCAAAATGTACTAAATATCTCACGGATTAAATCAAACAAATCAAGTCAAAAGCATTAGCAAATTTATTAAATTTAGCGATCACTAACTGGTCTTATAAGAATTTACTCGAATTTATTTTTTTCTGTGAGTTAATCATTTTTTTAGCAAAAAAAGCGATTTGTCTGATCGAAGATTTTGTTGCCAATTATCATAATCACGTGATAATGTAAAGCCAGTGTTCTTAAATTTGTCGAATGATTATTTGTTACCGCCCTCACAATTGCGGCAGTTCATTATGATGAAAGTTAAACAACAGCTGTTTTGTGAAGGCTCATCTGATTTAATGAAAAAGAAGTTTAGAGAGAGAAAACGAAGCAGTTAGCAGCACTTTAGCTTCACTCCCAGGGGTTTTCTTTTTGCATCTCAGAGGTCTTTCTTTAAAATCTTCTATCGTATTGATAATTGATAATACGCATAAATGACGTTAATGACTGCATTATGATGACTTTTGCGTTCATATTTTTTTCCCTCTTGTTATTTCAATGTTTGAGAATAAATGGTTGTTTTGCAAGGAAATAATTCATTTAAACTCTCAAAATCTTATCTTTTTCACTTGATAAAATTTATTATTTCGTGGACAAAATTGCTTTATGCTAAATTTAAACATCATATGTTCCATATCCACTTTTGTCTCCATTTATGAGACTCGAAACGCACTTACACTTCTTTCTCTACAATCAAAAAGATATCACCTCAGTAGTTTACAAATCAGAAATAGAGAATGCTGCTGAAAGAAAGAAAGGAGATTCGAGTTTTGCAATACCGACGATAGCAACCTTGCCAAAGAAAGCTGGCAATTTCTTTCCGTCTGATTATGAAACAAAAAATACGCGGCAGCGGGTAACGAGATAGGCTCTTCATTTATCAAGAACTTAGGATGGTACCTTAGGCTGTGGAAGGATTAACCATTTGCAGTTGCAAACAAAAGCAATTCGTGCTTAATCTGTTTCAGGAATTGTAGTAATATTTGTTAAGGAAATTAAATAAAAATTTCCAACAAAGAAAAATTTCATCGTTATTTCCTTAAATTTTTCATAATTTTAGGTGTATTAGAATTTATTTCTGTTGCGTTTGGTCTCGTTAGTATACGAGGAAAAGAATCTCAACGATATTTATGCATGGATCGAGATGGACGATTATACGCAGCTGTATGTTCATTTCTGCTATTTTTTCATATAGTATATGCTATTTTGCTGAGAAATAAGATAAAATTTAATTTAATTTAATTTAATAAAATTTAATTTTATAACAATTCAGTACGTTCATTTTTTTTTAGGTCAAACAAAACTATTCTACGGAATGCGTTTTTATGGAAGAAATGTTGGAAAATTATTATAATCTCTATTCATCATGTTCATATGGTAGTCGTAAAAAACCATGGTATGTAGCTTTAAGGAAAACCGGTCGACCAAGAAAAGGTTTTTCTATTCAATAATATAAAATAAGCTCGATTACTTCTTGAAAAATTATAGCGACAGCAAAATTTTAGAAATTTTGAAATTTCGAAAGGAAGTTTTTTTGTAACTAAAATTGATTTATTTTAACTTTTTTTTATGGCATTTCGTTTTCCGATATAAAAAAATCCGATAAAATTCCGTTTTTTTTTGAGATTTTCATTAATATTTTTAATTATATTTTCGTAATCTTCTCAAAATTTTGTTTTTTTTTTGTTATTCAATTTATTCGTAATTATTCGTTTTATTTAATTTTCTCATGCGAATGTGCTAAAAGGAAATTTCGAATGGAAAATGAAATAAAAAGTTGAAAAAATTCTTTAAGGATGAATCGATTTCAATTAATTTTGGAAAATTTAATTTTCAAGAAACATGCAAAAAATGAGAAATGTGGCGAATATAATTAAAAAATAATTATATGATTAGAGAATATAATTACATATTAATTGCCGATTGTTGTTACAGGTAAAAATTCAAGGAAACGAAGAAAATCATCTCATTTTTTGGTTGTACATTTTGATGGTGCACGGCCAACATCTGAATATAATTTTATGAGGGACAATCTTGATAGTTCTATACAACTGTCAAATCGTAAACTGATGAGAAATCAACGATATGGTATTTCATGGCAATTTTTTTACAGTTCCTTTATGATATTATTATTATTACTATTTTCTTATGAAATATTATTGCAGATTATTGAAGAATGCGAAGAATATTTTACATTAATGATAATAATTTTTGAAGGGAAATCTTCAGATGTTTTGTTGCTAATTTTTTGTTGCCTTATTTTTATCTTATAGATTATAACCACAAATCATATACAAATTATGATAAGCCACCTCCGCCAAATAGTCTCAATGATATTTTATCGGGAACTTTACTGAATCATTTGTCAAAGGGATCGGTATTCAAAGAAACTAGGTCGTTAGAAATTAATCGACACAGCAATTTTTTGCGAAAAACTTCTGCAAAGGAAGATCGACGTACAGTGGTTGAACAACATAAAATAAATCGAAAGTTGGTTTTAAATCTTTGAAAATTTTTCAGAAATTTTGAAATTTTTTATTGCTATTTATGAAATTTCACCCATTCAAAATGAATCACTATTTCAAAAATTTATCGCAAAATTTCTTTTTAATTGTGATACATTCGAATTGGACAATAGCGAATAACAGCGAAAAATGGCGAATATTTTAATGTTTAATTTTAATTTTAATGTTTGCAATATTACCAAATATATATAGCCAAATCTGATTTGTCAGTACATATATAATTTGCTTTTTGGTTCATATTTATTTAATGCAAAATGTTTTTTGAAAAAGTTGAGAATATTCAAGGCTAATCAATGCGATAATAGTTAAGAATAATTATAAATTACTATTTTTTAGGAAACGTCGAAGGAAAACTCGCTTGGAACGAGAAGAAAGGAAGCGTCAGTTGAGAAAGCATGAACTCGAACTTCAACGAGCCTTAGCTTATGAAGAACAAATGAGGCAACTGAATAGCTAGCATCAGCCAAAATCCAGAACATTTGTTTCCAGATTATCTTTGCTTTCAACATCCACTTTTCTCTTTATCTCATTTCACCAATTAACTGCTCTCGTCTTTTCGCTTTAATACAAGATTTCGAAAAAAACCAATGTTTTTTATTATTCGTTTAGCTTTAATCAATAGAATAGCTCATAATTAGCTTTTAGGATTTTCGAGTAATTTTTTTATTCTTCGAGGAACTTCGAAAGATCTCTTCATAAAATTAAGTTTAAAACTAATATAAGGGATTAGATCTGTTTATCAGGAAATCAGATCCATATGAATACTGCATGAAGGCGAAAATGGAATAGTCGAAAAGAGGATGAGATAGGGGACAAACGAGCACCTATCCGTCTGTAATAAAGATTTCTTGGCCAATATTTTTTCGCTCTTTGTTTTGTTTAAGTTCAATTTGCAATGATCTTTATTTACTTCGGGATTGGCCGTCGCCAGATATCATAATTTTGACCAAATAATATAGGCGGGTAAATGAATTGTTCGACCGCTTATTTATTTTAAAATTTTTCAAAATTATAAAAATTATCGTTTTTGGCGAACTTTCTTTAGGAAAATCTTATAAAGAAACGAATTTACAGAGAAAAATGGAGATATTTGCATAGAGAAATTTTGACTATAATTTTTGTCTTGATACAAATTTATCTTTTTCTTATATATTTTGATAAGAATGATAAGCATTCAGGTCATGGTAATGTATTTTAACTGCTATTAACACGTACATTGTCTTTGCAATTTTATAAAAAAACTAATGATTTTAGCAAATTTAACAAATAATTTGTTGGGCAAAGTGATCAACTTCATAATATGAAAATTTAACTAATTTCTCAACGCATACGTGTATTTTTTTTCACCAAATCCATTTTTGTTATATTTTTAATTTTTTAACACAATTTTTATTTTTTTATCAATGATAGTTGATTTATTCGAATTTTAATAATTATTTTAAAAGTGATAAAACCAATTTTTTATTCAAAATTGGTTCATTTCGAACAAAAAAGATTCATTTTGAGCAAATTTTTTTTTTGGATGAGAATATCTTAGAATAATAAAAAATAAAAATAAATTCATTCATCAATTTTTATATTTCACTTTAACTGATTAAATAGTTAAAAGGAAAAAAAAAATCAGAATTTGCTGAGGTGTGGATAGATAATTAAATAAGAAAAGTTACATAGAAATGTTTATTCGTTGTTTTTTTCTGTATTTATCATATAAATGAAATAAGCACCGACGGAATAAAAAAATTATGGAAAATTTCTTGAATTCCAAATTTTTAGAATTACTATAAGAATTTCCAAAATTTATCATAAAATTTATCAGAACATAAAATGAAAAAAGTATTATTTTAACTTATAACATCCCAAACGGTTGATCAATTTAAGGATAATTTCTTAGTCTACGGATTGTCAGCCTTCTTTTTTTGATCGGTTCCAAAAATAAAACGACTTCTAAAACTATTTCGTTTTTACATCGTGGTGCTTAATTTCAGCACTTGAATGATTAATAAAAATGTATTTATTGGTATTGTAGACCAACGGCTTGTGATGCCGCATTTTGCTGCAGACCAACGGCTTCTGTAGCCGAACTTTTTAACGATTTCCATAGTTTTTTTTTCCACTCACTTGTGATTAATGTTGATTTTTATAAAATAATACAAAAACCACATTAATTGGCAGCAAAGCTTGATTTCTATTAAAAATTATTCATCTAAATACTCTTTTAATTTGGCCTTTTAGTTCTTAAAAAAAGAAAGCAACAATTCTAGCAAATACATTGGAACAGATGGATGAAGCATTTTTTTGCGATAAATTTTTTTTTGCTTATTCATTTAAGTAATTTTGAGGATATTTGTACCAAATCGATATCGCCCTTCTTATCACCCGTTTTCACAAAGTTTCAGAGTCTGATAAATTAGATGAAAATGAAGAAAAACGAGAAAAAATTAATTAATTCGATATTATACGAAATGAATTATAATATAAATGCAAGTTTTGTTGCTAATATTTGATAATAAATCTCATATGATAAATTTTATTGTTCAAAGAAAAAATGGTATTTGAAACGATTCGATAGATTTTTTTTAATTTTTGATTTTTATTATTGTATTTTATTTTCTTTTAATTCATATAATTTTAATTTAATTTAATCTAAATTAAAATAATAAAGCTAACACTCAAGAAATACTCAAACACCAGAGAAACACTCAACAAGTTAAGATGAATTAGAAATTTTAGGGCGAATTGGAAAAAAAATAAATACGTATACATAAATATGGTTTAAGGAATACTGCGGACTGAACTGGCAAAGTTCCATTACAATTAAAGAGAATCAAAAAATATTTGGGTGAATAAGAAAAAAAATATATGCATTTTCAGCAACTCCTATTGCTATTTATTCCTATTTATTTATGAGAAATATTAGGAATCTGAAAATTTTGTTATAACAAATAACAAATTACAAATTTTTTGCAAAATTTTATTTGTTATAAAATAGCAAATAAAAGGCTTTTTATTAAATATTATTATAACTAAATTAGGTGAAATCTCCCCAAAAATAAATTTTTTTTTAGTTACTTCCCAAATTTGACAGAATAAATCGAACTGCAAAGTATGGTTCTATTGGAAATGCTTTAAACTTGATGAATGAGTGAATTTGCCATCAGTCAGGGAAATACAAAATACAAAGCTGCTGGCTCGATCATTACTGACGGGAAAATCGAGAATTTTAAGTATTTTAAGGTGTTTTAAGTGGTCTACCATGCAATTTTTTATTTTATTTTATTTTGGAAATTTTTGATTAATCACTGTCCCACTACTTTTTCCTCTCTTCCCACACGTCTCTTATACGTCTCTTATATGCTGAACATCTCAGTTACAGAATCGGCCTCATAATCGGTCTTATAATTTCTGAAAAATTGTGTGGAAGAAAATCCATAATGACTAATAAGATAAGATAACCCAAATTCCGCAAATAGATGATTTCAAAATGTCCGAGGCCGTATTTATTCGTATGCGCAAGCAATAAAGTAGTTGTTACATCCTGCTGAAATTTCTAGGTTTGCTTCTGTTGCATGTAATTTAAAAAGAAGTCAAAATTGAATCCAGTAGTTCTATTTTCGAGTGATTTTCTGGCAAAATTTCCTCGCGCCAATAGCCAGTGGCGCAAATTAATCCTAAATAACGAGTACCAATCACTTATTTACACCAGTTATTCAATCGAAATATTTTCTTTGTTGAGCACATATAATAAAACTATCATAACTATTTTTAAAAAGCTATGATGGATAATTTGGATAATTTATTTAAAATATATTTCTTCAAATGAAAAAGATTAAAAAATCTTTCGAACAATGAATTGGCTGAAAAATTTAATTATTCCTTTTTTTGACTAAAAAGAATGGAAATTCTTTCTGAAATTCTTTCTTTTATTTCCTACGATATTTGTCATTCCAGGAGAATTTAAATACAATCGCAAATCATTTTCAGATATTAAAATGATTACAATAATTTCAAATTGTTATCAGAAGTGACGAAAGAAAAAAATGAAAAAACTATGATTTTTTTTAGAAAATTTTTTATAAATTTTCGACATTTCTATTAATATTTTTTAAAATAATTATAATTAATGATATTAATAATAACCTTAAAATTAATTGAGGCTTTGATTTCTTAACTTTTTAAAAAAGTTTGATTCGTCTGAAATATTTTTTTAAACATGAAAATTAGCCCTAAAATTCTTTGATAAATTTCGGCTGATGATGTGGTCCTTTTTGCTGACAGTTATGATGAAATACAAGTAATGCTAAATAATGTATCAGAAACTGCAGCAAAGAATAGGACTCAAGATCAATGTATACAAAATGAAATCTTTTCGTCTACAAGAAGCTGATAAAATTTTTGTAAATTCATTACCGATCGAGGAAGCCCGATTTTAAATACTTTAGGTCCACTCTAATACCAAATGGCCATGCAAAAGGCGATATTATAGTCCGGATCACGGCAGCTAGAAATGCGAAATGCTTCTGGTTAACGAAACCTTTATGAGGTCGTCGTGAAATTACCATAAAAACGAAATTCCGCACCTATATAGCCATGATCCGTTCGATCTTGCTATATAGTTCTGAGACATGGCCAATGAAAATGGAGGATATTATGAAGCTATCTACCTTTGACCAATTTTGTCTAAGGTATATTTTACGGGTCCGTCGAGCGGATAAAATATCACATGATCGCATCCACTTCCTTTAAAAACCACCTATATTAATAATATTATCACAGAACTTCGCCTTAGGTGGTTAGGGCACGTTCTCCGTCGTCCACCACAAGAGTTGTAGCATATTTCGTTACTTGCTAAATCTTGTGATGGATGGTATCAAAAGCTAGGTGGGCCAATCAAGACCTAGACTGATACGGTCAGGAAAGATTTTGAACGTATAGGAGGGCCAGCACTATTTGGACTGAGACGATGGAAAAAGAAATGGCTTCTATTACTGTCGACGATGGCATCAGACAGCGTCGCTTGGAAGCGTCTTATCCTTGTAACCGTTGGAGTTAGCCTAACCAGTAATGGTGAGAGATGTTAAGAGTAGAAGAAGAGTGTTAATCAGTTTCAGATGAATGAATGCATTGAATGATTGATTGATTATAAGCGATCACTTCCGATTTCTAACGACCATATCGATAAGTGATTCCCAAGGAAATTTGTCCTTAGGTTGATCCATCAGCACTATCAACGATCTTCTCTACAACTGAATCCACCTATCTATCCACCTTTTGCAGGTTACTTTTTTTTTAAGTTCCTTCATTTTAATTTTTTGATTTTTCTATTTTTCCAAAATTCATCTCTTTCTTTTCGTTTTCGACTAAGCCTCATATTATCAAAAATCTGAATGGCTATTGTGGACAAACCTATAATTTTCTATTTTCAAGTGACTCTATGGTCTGATTTTCTTGACACAGCGC